AACAATAGGCGCTGAAATGCTCCCGGGTTATCCAAAACCCAATCCGGACATATGACCAAGTCCCAAATCATCATACGAACCTGTTGGAACCTTCAAATCCCGATTCCAAGGCTGTTTACTCAATAATCACAACTTAACCAATTCTTCCAACTTAAAGCTTCCGAAATGAGAATTCTCTTTCCAAATCAACTCTAAACTTCCCGACATTTAATTCAGACCATGCGTACAAGTCATAATACCTTAAGTGAAGCTGCTCAATACCTCAAACCGCCGAATAATGCGCTAGAGCTCAAAACGACCGGTTGGGTCGTCACAATAATAAAAATTCTGAACCCCGAAAAAAAATCAGAAATAGTCACATTTCCAACTGGTAATTGAAAAAAGCCACATTTCATAAGTAGTCAAAATTTTACCATATTTTCATGTAATAAAGATAAAATTTGAACAAAATGCTAGAGTTTGAATTTTTTAAAATGAGATTCAAGCATAATGTGTTGGAGTTCGAACATAATATGCTGGAAGTTTATACGCAAGAGCTCTATAATCCAATATATTATGCTGGAACTTTTCCTACGCTAGAGTTGCAACATAATATGCTGGAAGTTTATACGCATGAGCTCCATAATCCACCATATTATGCTGCAACTTTCCGTGCTTCACTAAAATAATAGCTATTTTTAATAGTTTTTCAAATACTGACTGTTTTTCAATTATCAGTCTAAAAACTAACTAGCTTGTGCTATTTTTACGGCACAACTGAGATTCCGAATCTTATTTAGTTTTAGTCAATTTTGAGGCCTGTTGACCTAGTAAATTTGTGAAACACTTGGGATAAATAACGGGGATTGTAATTGAAGATTTCTTGAATCATTCTTCTCCATTATTGTAAAAAACTCTTTTTCTTCCTCTGCCTCTAGCCTTGATCGAATCTCATTATATTCTTGTGTTATTTCTTTCTTTTTTATTTGCTTTATATGTAATTGTGTGGTAGTTTAATCCTCAATCTTCTCCAACCCATATTATTTTAAAAGCATTGCTTTACAAGGGTCAAAATACACAAATTCATGTAAATTTGAACATATATTCTTCAAGTTTTTCTTTTAATTATATATTTATAAATTGTTTAAAGCCACTCCAACTAGAAGTCACAATAAATAATATTTGAAAATGCACTCCGAGAGGAGCACATAAAGGACAAAGTCGGCGTTCTTGCTTTGGCATGAAGAATACGAATAAAAATATCATTTTGCCGGTGAAGATTGCTTCAAACGATTGAAAATTAGAGATACATACTAAAGTACTACTAAAAGATATTCAGCGTTGTAGATGTTACTAATATTCAGAAAATTATCTTTAACATAGTCATTAACGAGAGAAGAAACTAAATTAGACAACAATGAAGATGTTCTTAAATTCAAAATTATGAATCTTTTAATAATATAATATAGAACCTGTAAATTTTTAAAATTGGTTATGAAAAAAGTGCTCATTTAAGTAATTTAACACATTAAAGGGAAAGAGAAATAAAAAAAGAAATGTTCACTTCCAATCACCAGAATAAAAATTCAATGACACATCCAATCTTTTAATGCTATTTGGTGCAAATTTGAATTAGTACAAAATTATAATTAAAAAAGCGTTTATTCAAGCCGTCTATATTTCAGTAGAATTTTGGAGGTATATGGGTAGAGCAGGATTGAAGTGGCTAATTGGGTTGTTTAATGTTATTTTCAGGACGAAGAAGATGCCAGAGGAATGGAGGTGGAGTACGATGATTCCGTTATTCAAGAACAAAGGTGATATCCAGAACTGTAACAACTATAGGGGCATCAAGCTACGGAGTCATACCATGAAAGTGCGGGAGAGGGTAGTGGAAGGGAGGGTGAGGAGGCTGGTGTCAATGTCCGATAACCAGTTTGGGTTCATGCCTGGTCGTTCCACTACGGAAGCGATCCATCTTATTCGGAGGTTGGTAGAACTGTACATGGAGTAGGAGGAAGGATTTGCACATGGTGTTTATTGACCTAGAAAAAGCTTATGACAAGGTACCTAGGGAAGTTCTTTGGAGATGCCTGGAGGTGAATGGTGATCTGGTGGCTTATATTAGGTTGATTAAGAATATGTATGATGGAACTAAGACTCGGGTTAGGATAGTGGGGGCAACTCAGAGCATTTTCCGGTTGTTATGGGGCTATACCAAGGATCTACACTCAGCCCATTCTTATTTGCTCTGACAATGGACGCACTGACACACCATATTCAAGGGGAGGTGCAATGGTGTATGTTATTCGCTGAGGATATAGTTATGATTGATGAGACGCAAGACGGTATTAACAAGAGATTGGAGGTTTGGAGATGGACCCTTGAGTCTAAAGGTTTCAAGTTGAACAAGACTAAGACTGAATAGGTGGAGTTCAAGTTCAGCGGTGTGTCGGGTGAAGCAGACATGGACGTGAGGCTAGACTCTCAAGTCATCCCCAAGAAAGGGGGACTTCAAGTACCTGGGGTCAATTATACAGGGGGATGGAGATTGACGAGGATGTCACGCACCTTATAGGAGTGGGGTGGATGAAATGGAGGCTAGCGTCTAGTGTCATGTGTGACAGGAAGGTGCCTCCGGAACTTAAAGGAAAGTTATATAAAGCGGTGGTTAGGCCGGCCATATTGTATGATGTAGAGTGTTGGCCAGTCAAAAGTTCTCATACCCAGAAGATAAAATTTACAAAAATGAGGATGCTAAGATGGATGTGCGGGTACACTAGGCTGGATAAGATTAGAAATGAAGATATTCGACTGAAGGTGGGTGTGGCTCCCATGGAAGACAAGATGCGAGAAGCTAGGCTTGGATGGTTTAGGCATGTGAGGAGGGGAAATTTGGATGCACCGGTAAGGAGGTGTGAACGACTGGTCTTGACGGGTATGTGAAGAGGTAGAGGGCGGCCTAAGAAATATTGGGGAGAGGTGATCAGGCAAGACATGGTGTGGAAGCAGATTTCGAGGACATGACCCTTGATAGGAAGTTGTGGAGGTCGAGCATTAGGGTTCTAGGTTAGGAGATAGGAGGCTAGTATGATGGTGTTTTGTTTTAGGTTGTTGGTGTCTCCAGTTGTGTTCTTAATACTTCATTAGGGTTGTAGGTTAGGCTGTAGTATGTTTAGTGGCCCTTTGTGTACATATTATTACCTTGCGTCTGTAGTACTGTGCCTTTGTTACTGCTCAGTGTTCTTACTTTGCTCTCTATTTTCTGGTTATTGCGTTGCTGGTGCTATCTTTCTGGATTCCTTTGCTGTTACTAATACACTGTCTTTTTCCTTCTTGTGTTGAGGGTCTACCAGAAACAGCCTCTCTGCTCCTCCGGAGCAGGGGTAAAGTCTGTGTACACACTACCCTCCCAGTTCCCACCTGTGGGATCTCACTGGGCTGTTGTCGTTGTTGTTGTCAAGTAGTCTATTCCTAGTTCCCAATAATAATATTGGTCAACTAACTACCAATATAGGAAGATTCAACAGTTAAATTTAATATTCTATCACATTTTAATTAATATAATGAGTTCAAAATTTATTATTTGTACATATTTAATGAGCTTTCGGCAGATATATATAGGGTATGCACCAGAACTATGGGTTAAAATGGACCCATAACTTCTATTCTAAATACGCCGGAGAAGGGTCAAAACCACCCCTATCATTTACTAAATGGTTTACAGTTGCCCTTCATCCACTTATTCGTCCAAAAAAATACACGACGTTAATTCTATTAACAAAATTACCCCTTGCGACTAATGGCAGAGCTTGTGGGCCTTCTATTTAATGAGGTGGCATATTTTTATTGGGCCACGTGGTATTTTGGGTCAGACAACACATATGGGTTTAGTACTCATCCCATAAACCGAACCTGCCCTAATTATTTTACAATCCGGGTTAAAAAAACCTTTCCGGCTTCTTCTTCCTCCTCTGTTTTATCCTTCCATGGCTTCTATGGTCTACCCTTTTCCTCACTGGTATCTTTCCTTCTTCGCCACTTCCAAGATCCTCGCGAACAGATTGTAGTACAAAAGATGAGGGCATAGAGCACTGAAATTATAAATTTAATTTGATACTTGAAGAGCTTTAAGTTATACAAGTAGGCGTATAGACTAAATTGATGCGTGATTTGTGTCTAAAAAAATCAATCAAATGTCGTTCTTCCGCAATTTCTGAAACATTGTATATTTCTCTCTTTAAAATCTGTTTTCTCTCTACAAGTCCAAATGGTTAACCCATCGGAGTATTCCTTTAACAGCAGCCCAAATCCCACATTAATGTTTTGACCCATTCATCATGCAACTGTTTGTTTATATATATATCAGCATAAAAGTAAAATAAACAAAATAAAGAATTGAATTGTCTGATTTTGGTTGTAGCCTCCGTCCATTTATTATTTGTAAAAAAATATTTGTCCATGAAAATTTGTATGTTTTTGAAATTTTTTAAAAAAATGAGTTTTCAATAACATTTCAAGTTTCCCGGAAAAAAAAATAAAAATTCCGCTCACAAAACTATTTTACCTTTTCAAGTGTAACGTATGTTCAAATATAATTTCAAATTTTAAATATTACTTTTAACTTAAATCCAAATACTATTTTTTTCAAAACTCGTACTAACTCCATCTCAAATTATCTGTCGTGGTTTCTAAAAATAGTTGTCTCAAATTATTTAACATTTTAGAAGTTTAAGAGTAAATTAATTATTTTTTCCTATTCTACCATTGATATTAATTATTCTTGAAGATTATAAATATCTTAATTATGAGAAAATATTAAATAAAAATAAATTATACCTTAAGATATAAATAAGGATAAGTAATTTTAAAAAATTCTATTTAATCTTTTCTCAAACGATGTGCAAAAGAGAAATATTGACACATAACTTGAGAAAGAGAAATATTGACACATAATTTGAGAAAGAGGGAGTATAATTTTTATGTCTAAATGCCATTTATTTTGGATTGGAATTCTAAAAATGGAAAAAGATCAAGAAAAAGGCACTGGTCGACTCACAGCTCAACCTGTCCTACTTTCTCCCTCCACTCTGCTCTGCTCTGCACTGCTTCCTTTTTCACACTTCTGCAATTAATAGGCCAACTTTTTTTCCTTTCCCATTTCTTGGATCTCTACTTCTTATTATTCTCCTTCTTTCTGAAAAAAAAAAGATTAAAAAGTCTCGTCCAGTTTAGACTACATTGTTGATCTCAATTAATCTTGAATTTCTGCAAAACCAAGATAAAAGGTACTATCATATCCATATTTTCTCTTTGTTTCTTGACTTCTAAAGCTTTCAAAAGCTCTTTTTTTTTATAAATAAAAAAGGACAATTTAGGTTTAAAAATCTCATCTTTTTCCAGAACAACCCCTCTTTTTTGCTTTTTTCTCTCTTTTATATTCTCTGCTTTCCAGTTTTTACAATTTGGGTGTCAATGTTACTGCTTTTCTTTAGTTTGTATCTGATCTAAAAAGGCTGAACTTTGGAATTTGTGTTCACAATTTTTCTTTCTTTTGTTGAATTCTTATTTTCTAGCTTTTTTATTTATCATTTTTGGTAATTGAGCATTTGAGCTATATATATGCCTATTAAGTTTTTTTAGTATAGTATCCACACTAATTCAGATTCGCTTTGTGTCTCTAAAAGGGGTGTTACTATTAATTTAAGCTTGACTTTACAACCAAAACACTACTTTTAATTTCTTAAGGCTCGTTTGGCACGATAGATAAGGAATAATTGATTTTGGGATTAAATTTGAGATAACTTTATCCTACATTTCTATGGTTTCTATTGATGGTAATGATATATTGTCTCTTTTAGTCTTCTCGAGCCAAGAGTCTTTTGGAAATAGCCTCTCTACTCCCTCGGGTAGATGCAAGTTCTGCGTACACACTACCCTCCCAGAGCCAAGAGCCAATAATTGATTTCTATGGTTGTTGATGTTGTTTGTTGTTGAGTTTATCCCACATTGTAGTGTTACTTTTATAGGAGTACGGAATAATAATCTCGGAATAATTAATCCTGGGATAACTTGTTTCCCAACCAAACAATCCGTTAGGGAAAATAACATACTTATAAGATTTGTGAATTGTAATAAGTTTTGATCTGTGAAGGACTAAAACAAATGTTTGATTAAAGATGTAGCTTTAATAACATATGGGGCTAAAACAATTGTTTGATAGTATGGCTTTATTGAAGACTGAGAGTACATAAATGTCTATTAATTTGATTTGTATAATTGAGATTCCCATAGAAGGAAACAGCTTAAAACAGTCCAGTAATTATATTATATTTCTTAGCTCACATGCAAAAGTCCTTTAAACTCTGTGCTGGTCAATTAGTCCATTTTCAATGTTTGCTGGCATTTCCATCTTCTTATGTACTTTTAAATAAAAAATTCCATTAATTAATCTTTTCTTCTTTTGTATAGCTGGTTTATTAGTTGACTGAATTGACATTTGACCAAGGAAGAAAGAGAACTTAGTTATTTGCATTAAGCCCAAAAAAACACCTTTTTGCTGTGCTGGAATCTTGTCATTTCAGCATTGTTTTGCTTGGTTGACCATAAATCTAAGCTTTGTTGTCAATCAGATGATCACTCTGTGAGTCTGAGCAAAATGGGAGGTTGTGTCTCGAGTAGCAGCTCGAGTACTTGTAGTAGTAGGAGCAATGGAGAAAGAATTTCACATGAATGTTTGGGAATAAACATGTTCGGTCGAAAGAGGATTAGAAGAAGTCTTTCTGATCCTGCAACCATATTGCAGCATCTGAGTTCGATTCCCAATCGGATCTTTACGAATGGCAAGAGCCGGACTTCTTGCATATTCACGCAACAGGGACGTAAAGGCGTTAACCAGGATGCCATGATCGTGTGGGAAGTAAGTTGTACTTTTTTTAGGCATAATACTACATTTGGCATATTTCAGAATCTGATATGTCATATGAATGTACTTGTGTAGGATTTCATGTCAGAAGATGTGACTTTTTGCGGTGTATTTGATGGCCATGGTCCACATGGCCATCTTGTTGCTCGCAAAGTAAGGGATGCACTGCCCCTGAAGCTAAAATCCCTCTTGCAGTCATTTGAATCAAATCGCAGTGAGAATCCACAAGTGGAAACTGTGGATCCCGATAAGGATCAAGTGACGTCGGATAAAGTGGTCACTCAGTGGAAGGACGCTTTCCTTCAATCATACAAGGCAATGGACAAAGAATTGAGGTCCCAACCTAACTTAGATTGCTTTTGCAGCGGCAGCACTGCTGTTACTCTAATAAAACAGGTAAGATGAGCCACATTTAACATTATTTTCCTCATGCTGTTTATGTCATTTTGTTTTCTTCAATTCTAACCTTATTTTTGTTCTTTTTTGTTTTAAGGGTTCAAACCTTTATATGGGCTATATTGGTGATTCTCGAGCAATCTTGGCGTCAAAGGATGAGAATGATTCAATGGTAGCAGTCCAGTTGACTGTTGATCTGAAACCTGATTTACCTAGTATGTCTCTTTTATAGTGAATTTTTCATAAGGTATGATCATTTCATGAATTCCTATTAGATAATCTAGTATTTCTGGTGGCAGGGGAAGCTGAGAGGATAAAACAGTGTAAAGGTCGGGTTTTTGCATTGCAAGATGAGCCCGAAGTGCATAGAGTTTGGTTGCCATATGATAATGCCCCTGGGTTAGCAATGGCTCGAGCATTTGGCGATTTTTGTGTTAAGGAATATGGGGTAATTTCTATGCCAGAATTTTCTCACCGGGTTCTTACAGAGAGGGACCAGTTCATTGTTCTTGCTTCTGATGGGGTATGTTATGCTATCTGAATCTCTTTTTAATTTGTTAGCTTAATCATTTTTCGGAAGTGTTGAAACCAGCCTGAATGATATTTGTTAAGTTTTTGTAAGTATATGAGAATAAAGCTTCCCTTATAAAAAAAATCAATAAAGCCTCAATGAGAGTTCCGTAACAAATTGATCCTTTTGGCTGACTCTAATGCTAGTATTATGATCAAAGTTACAACCTTGAACGTCCTAGTAATATCTTTTTTGGTATGGTTGAATTGGCGTTAAATATAATTAATAGTATGTTTCTCTGGGTCTATGTATGTGTATAATAAGTTAAATGGAGTGATGTAATGTAACATAGTTAGGAAAAAAGGGCGAATCGTTGAATGATGCATTTTAAAGTAGAAATTTCGTTCTCTTTTAATTTTGTAATTGCGCAATTAAATTCTCTATATGGCCACCTATTGTAGCTTCCTGTGTTAATTGCGCAGATTTTGGAGATTACATAAATTAACAATAATCTACCAATGTAAGTTCCAAGCATTGATATTGATGGAAAACTACATAGGTAAGCATTTGGTGTTATTTTCACTGGTGAAATATTATGATTAGGTGGGAAGTAGGTATTTTCTAAGTACATGAAAAAGGTATTAGGTCTGGCTATTTGGTGGGTTGTCTGTTATGTAGCTTTCTGGGTTTGGGGAAAGAAAGGGGCATTTACGTTGTCATGGATCTGGAAAGTTCAACGATTAGGTGTTTACGTCTGTACCTAGGAGGAACGGATTTGATTAAAGTGTGAATCAGATGTGCCAAGACTCCTCAAGTCCTCATAGGCAAAGTAGCTATCATTTTAGTATTTGAAAAAGGTATTAGCTCATGTACTGTAGTAGGTTGAATATTCTATAGCTTTTGGTGTTGAAGAAAGAAAAAGCAGACTGGTGATATGTGTACATTTGTACCTAGGAGGCGGATTTGATTAGTATTATGAATCATATGCGCAAAGTCTACTCATCGGCAAAGTAGCTATTGCTTTTAGTATTTGAAAAAGGTATTAGCTCATCTACTGTAGTACGTTGTATATTTTGTAGCTTTCGCCGTTGAAGAAAGAAAATGGAGACGGGTGATATTTGAAGTGTCAGCTTTGACAACAGTTATTTACATGCAATCCTCGGAAGGACCTGTTATTACTTGGTATTGGACTTTTGGAAGACTCCAATACTATTATTTTGATGAATGTGACTTTCTTATATCCTGCATTTTGACTTAGATGAATTGGAACTATATAACCAAACATTATATGTGCATGTGCGCGCTCGCATAATTACATGCAATATGTTATATGGAGCAATATATTATGATATGGAAAAAAAAGAGCGAATTGAAAAATGGCCCATTATATATCTGAAAGTTCAATTTCCTTTTCATTTCATAACTATAAAATAAACTGAAAAATGATTCCCTCTATACGATCACCTAACCCTGCTTCCTACATCAATTGCCAAGACTTTGGATATTATATACCCATTAACAATGTACTACCAACAGGGGCGGATGCACCATGGTAGTTACGGGTTCAATTGAACCCATAACTTTTGCGAAGTAGAAATTTATGTGTGAAAATTTATTAAAATTGTAAAAATAATAGATTTGAACCCATAAATTTAAAAATATAATGGGTTCAATATTAAAAATCTTAAAAGTTGAACCCATAGAATATAAATCCTGGATCCGTCTCTGACTACCAAAGCTAGTTTGAAGCATCACTGGTGATTGCTACCAAGTACCTACATAGCTAAGACACTTGGCTATCATTCTCACTGGTGAATTATTATGATTGGTGGGAAGCAGAGACGGACCCAGGAGTTGAAAGTGGCAGGGGCATCATTATCGAACAAAAACTTGAGCAAATGCTGGAGTGAAAATCAAACTCAGGCAACGCACTAAAAGTCAAGTTGTGCGCCCCTAAGTCGGTCAATGCAGCTACCTAAGCTTTGAATCTTGGGGTGTCAATCAAAATATATATACATATTAGTTAAGATATATACACATATACTTATATCTTTTCCAAAAAATTACCAGGGCTGGTGACCTCCCTACCCTCAGGGTACGTCCGCATCTGGTGGGAAGTAGCTTTTGTTTGTTAGTATGTTAAAGGTATTTGGTCAGACTATCATAGTTGTTTGTCTATCATGGAAGAGAGGGACATGTTATGTTACGTTGTCTTTGAGTCCAGTAGGTTTAACAACAGGTGTTTACATTTGTACCTCGGAGGAAAGGATTTTAAATAGTTTCTTGAATCAGATGTGCCAAGAGTCTTCATAAGCAAACTATCCGTTGGTATTTCAAATAGGTATTACCTCAGCTACTTGTAAAAAAAAGAAGAAAAAATGTATTAGCTCATCTGGTTTAGTAGGTTTGTCAAGAAAATAGAGATTTTTTATCTTTGAAGGGTGGTTTGCGCTTGAGCAGACACCCTTAAACGGTGATTTTCTAATAACTCTTGATGTTTTAGCAGTTCTCTGACATGCAACCAAATGTTTCTACCCGCGTGAATGAATCATACAATGTATTCCTTTTTGTTTAAAAGTTAAAAACATTTGTACCTTCTTCTACTGTACTATTTATCTTCGTTTGGTTGTCTGCAGCACCCTTTCCTTCTTGTCCACAGTGCTCCTATGCATTGAAGCTTAATCTCGAAAAAGAATGTTAGCTTTTATGTTCATTAGGTATAAGTGAATAAGTTTGACTAAATTATAATCTGAAGCGCTATTCCATGCCCTCGAAATACATTCCACTTGAACTTTTCAACGTTTTGTTGCTGGAAGCGAGTGTAGGACATAAAACTTTTTTGGTTTGAGATAATGAGGTGCTTGGTGTGTAAAATAGTTTTGGTTTCAAAAACCATAATATCATCGTTTTTTTCCCAAAAAGCAAAATGAAACACCAATCCTTTTGTTTCATAATACCCACGGTTGAAGTGTGATGATCTCATTTAAAAGCTTAAACTGTTAGAGAGAACATTATTTACTTAATTATGTCTTCAATAAGTCCCCTCACGTGCGGGCTTGATTCTTTTTGACCAGCCAAGCACGTGAAAATTGTTTTTAATATTGAGTGGCGGTGAGACTCGAACCCAAGACTTCTGCATGTTCTGGTAGCATGTTGAAGTGTGTGACCATCTCATCTAAAAGTTATGCTGTTAGAGATAGCACACCTCTTTTACTTAATTATGTCTTCAACACGCTATTTACTTAATTATGTCTTCAATACTCACAAATCTTTTGGTGTTATCATTTTCACTCTTACTTTTTCTGAGCTATGTTTTCTTCCTCGGGGGATCATGTTCAATAGTTATTTTTCTAAAACGTTTTCCTTCACTTTAAAAACTTTGGTGTTTCTCCCTAAATAAATCAAGGCAATTCATTGGACCTTTAGAATGGGTTTCCCAATTCTAGTAAAAGGGAGAAATCATGCTTCAAGGCTTTGGTCTTGTGGTAAAACCGTAAGAGTGCAACACATGATATCTAGTTTAGGCGCACATCATGGGTTCGAATCATGTCCCGGACAAAAATCTGGTATTTGCGTGTAAAAGAGTAGTTGGGTGCGCTCATTATCTATCGAGTTTCGAACCGTGCCCCATTAGCGCTCAGTGATTTCTCGCAGCCTGGTGCACTAAGCTCCCACTATGTGCGGGGTCGGGGAAAGAGCCGGACCACACGAGTCTATTGTACGTTGCGTTATCTTGCATTTTTGCAAGAGGCTGTTTCCAAATTGCTCTAGTGATATCAAATATATAACAGCTCTCAGGCGTCAACGCAGTATGATTTGAGAAATATAACTGGAAACTTTATATTGGTAGAGTAGTTTTTGACAGGATCTCTCTCCTTATAGGATGGTTTTACTCTTCTGCTCCATTAAGCAGATCTTGTTTTTGATTATTCAATTATTATTAATAATTTAATATAAAACCCTAGTGATTTAAAGTAGCATTTTGCTTTCCTGTAGCTTAATCTTGGGAAAGGCTTTCTAATTCATTGTTTCTTCAAATTTAGAAAAGAAACTTGCAAGGCTAGGATTGTAAGTTAGGTAGATGTTGTATGACTGTGTCATGACTACTGTTTTAAATTGAATGTCTATTCTCAACTGCAGGTTTGGGATGTATTGAGTAATGAAGAAGTTGTTGATATAGTGTCATCAGCTCCTACACGGTCGTCAGCTGCCAGGATCCTAGTCGACTCTGCTGCTCGTGAATGGAAAACCAAATATCCAACTTCAAAAATGGATGATTGTGCTGTTGTTTGCTTATTCTTGGACGGACATATGGACATGGAATCCGACAACGAGGAACAATCCTTTTCTTCTGCTACTCTTCAGCGTAACCATTCTGATAACGCAGCCGAATCAGATGATGGGCACAGCTCCGAGCCATGTCTACAGAGAAATTTCACTGTTAGATCAGGTGAAGAGAATGATGCTTATAAACAAGTAGTAGCCGAAGCAGAAGCAAATCAGGAAACCGTAGTAACAGAAGATCAGAAATGGTCAGGATTAGAAGGTGTTACTCGAGTAAACTCTCTGGTTCAGCTTCCAAGATTTTCAGAAGAACGGCCAGGACCTTAACCTCTTGTTATTCAATTATTATTTGTTATAATTCACATCCCTTCGTCTCAAAGATGAAATAGAGAGTGGCATTATTGTCATCCTCTATATCTTGTGCAAATATATTTTTCCTGTAGGCATTAGACCATGTATACGTCCACCCCTTCTCGCCATTGATAGAGAGCACCTTCATGCGCGGGGTAAGCCTTTTATCTTTATCCTGTTTATGTTCCATGTTCGGGTTAATTTGGTTTGTTCAGCAAGTTAAATTGGCATTCATTTGAATTGTAAATTATTAGGATGTTCCCTTCAAAGGCATGACAATTATTACAGTTTATGTTATGTATGCTCTCTGTATGATGAGAGTTTTGCCTGTGATTTATGATCTAAATTGCATTTGGACAGTTCTTCAGAAATTATTTTGTCTAGAGTTAATCTGAATAATCATTTTTGTTTGTATGATTGCTTTACAAAATATGTTAGGAATAGCTTTGCATATGCTGAGGTACATGATTATGTATTGTTTATATTACATGCAAGTGATTCTGACTATTTACTTTGTTTATACCTGTTTCCAATCAGTAACATTATTAACATTATTCGTAATAAGGGAGCGTGCTGCTTGATTCCAAATTTGGCTATTCAAATACTCCCTCTGTTTTAGTTTATGTGAACCTATTTTCGTTTTTGTCCGTTCAAAAAAGAATGACCCCTTTCTAAATTTGGAAATAATTTAGCTTAAACTTACAATTTTACCCTTAATGAGAAGCTTTTATAACCATAAAAATACCCTGGCCCCTTTTTAACTTGTTTAGGACCACAAATTCAAAGTCTTCATTTTTTTCTTAGACTCTATGTCTAGTCAAACATGTTCATATAATGGAGAGAGTATAGCGGTAGAATATGTTAAAAATTATTTCTGCACAGAAAAAATTAGCGGGTAGTTAAACCATGTGCATAAGTAAAATTGGTACACAGATAAAAATGACTTTTGTCGAGAGTAACGGATGAATGGATGCAGGCTTTGGCCATGCGCATGTATATATATAGAATAATTAACCCGAATAGCTGCTCCTAATAAATGCCAACTATTGTCACAATTAGGTATGGCAAACGGGTGAGTCAAGTTGAAAAACAAATAATGCAAAAATAGAAATTTTCTGACCTGACCCATATTTAATATGGATAAAAAGTAATATGGATATCCATATTATCCATCGAGTCGAATATGGACAAGTCAAAAAAACATGTAACGCAAGAATAGATAAATTATCCAATTCGACCCATATTTAATACGAATAAAAAACGGATTAATCCGTAGATAATATGAATAATATGGTTTTTATCCATATTTGACCCATTTTTAAAAAGTTCATTATACAACACATTTTTTAAGGAATAATATAGGTGGATAACTAATTTGTTATAACCATTTTGCCACCACTAGCCACTATCAATGTCAAACAAGATGTTGAATTCACAGGATTTTAAGTTTCACAATAGTGGAGGTGATACTAGCAATTGTGACTTAAAATTTCAAAATTTTGGAGCCATATTACAGTAAATGAGTAGTCAAGTACACCAAGAAATCTACTGAAATATCTATGTATGAAGAATTTTTATGTCATTTGTCTTGCACACCGACGAATTTGAAACATCACCAGTGCGATAACTTTGTTCCTCTCCAAATCTCACTGGCCCAAAATGTGAAGAAAATAAACTATAAATTGGAGTCAAACAATTAAAGTTCTCAAACTTACAACTTCTGATCTCGAGACGAGCTTACTATCACCTGAAAATTAAGACGAATTTACAGGTCAACAACAATAATCCACAAAAAAAAAATGGATAATTGCAGGCTTCCCATCCATTTTAGAAGATGAAAAGCCTCTATATGCCGTTTCATGGGCTATGTGATTCCACATAAATAGTTTCAGTCAGGAACTACATGAATTTCAAAACTGGAACAGGTTACACTTCCTAACATTTTTCTTTTGGGTTTCTCACCCGAAATCCGGTACCTGCATTGGGGCCCGACTAAATCCGGATTCGCTCCGGGAAGTCCCAAATTGGGTGACAAAGCGCTCCCTAACAAAGGGGACTCCATACCCAGAGCTCGAACCCAACACCTCTGGTTAAGGACGAAGGAGTACTTATACTTCCTAACATATCAAATTAAGTATAAGGTAAAAATTTCAAAAGGAAAGCAGAAGCATACAACAAAATCCATTTCAAAGTAAGGGAATAGTATATTTTGAATGGTGTCGCCAATAGAGTACCATAAACTTTTGATGAAACTAGACAAACAATATAATATTGTCATCACAACAACAATAACAGCAGCAGCAACAACAACAACAACAACAACAACAACAACAACAATCCCACAAGTGGGGTCTGGACAGTATAATATAGTCACATCGCTACAAAATGTAACCTAGCTGACAAGTTAGCCAAAGGTTTCATTGTGCATACAAATGAATAACTCAGTAACATCATGTCCGTACTTCAGTCAGTAAGCAGTGGATATAATAAATAACATCAGCTAACACATGATGCTATCATGTTAGGATATTACGAGTTCAATATGCTTGTAGATATCAACCAGCTTAAGCCAAACACACCAGACCTTGGATCCATGAATACAAGATTGCTCCATATTGGCCAATATTTCCCAAGCCTTTTGTTCCAGTTTTGGCATACAAAATCATAAGGTACTACATATTTACTTTCGAATACAAAACCTGCAAAAACTTTAAGATAGCAGTGTCAAGGACAGATGCTTGTCTTATCTAGTAGCATTCTCGACTCTAAGTAATATGGATGTCCATGGCTTTTCCATTTGTCATTACCATGATCACTATCAAGAAAAAACTTTTTTTTACCCTCACTTTCTAACTTGCCAAAACGATAACTATCAACCTGGCACCAGTCACTAATCAATTCAATAAACATGTAAATAGAACTGAACCTTCATTCCATGATCTCCAATCATACAAAAGTAATCATTTGTAGCAACTACTGCTTCAAAATCCAACAAATTGAGAGTGAAACACCCTGTATAAAAGGTTAAAACGTTTGATGTTTGGAAGGGCAACAAGGTTGAATGTAAGAGTTCCAAGGAAAAGCAAGTGTCNATTCATTTTTTTTCTTACGACACGATACTCAAATCTAGATTCTTGTAATTATGATTCAAGTGAAGAAAAAGTAAGCCTATTTATTTCGGGCTTTAAAACCAGTAGTTCTAGCGGTCGACTCGGTTCTTTCAAATTGTTTCTCATTATTGAGAAAGGGTAACAAAGATAAAATACGAGCTTGTTTTATAGCAAGAGTAATTAATCGTTGTTGTTTCAAGGTCAATCTATTCACTCGTCTTGATAATATTTTTCCTTGTTCACTAATAAATCGACTAATTAAAAAGAGAACTAAGGCAACTTTTAGTTGCAGGGAAAGAAAAACGCTAGCGAACCTCTTTCCAGGCGGTACAATACAAAGGGCGAAGCTCGAGTAGCGGGGGTTGCGAGTCCATCACCATTCAGGTATCGTTTAGCCAGTGTTGTAGCCCTCCTTTCTTTGTCTATTTATCTAGAACCCCCTGTCTCTTTTTACTGCGCCCAAGAAAGAAAAGATCCAATTCGAGACCCTGGGAGAAAGGACTGATTGCTGCTTCCTCTTCTTCATTTCATCATTTTGTTCTGTTCATAGGTCCCAAGCCCTTCTTATAAAGCCCTCTTCCCTCTCCTTAAGTTTAAAAAAAAAAAGCTTCTTGATTGAACAAACATTGTAAGAACCTTTGTAACTGATTTTTTATTTTCCCACGTAGAATGTCATCGATTTAATTGAAGCACCTTTGTTTTAGTATTTTAGACTGCTCGTGGAGGAGAAAATGGTGAGGAACATCAATCTAGGAGAAGGTGGTGATGATCGTTTTGGATAATGGAGAAGATTATAACATACATCAAAAGGTGATGATAATGATGATGAAAACTATATTAGCAGCAATGAAGAAGAAGAAGAACATGCGGAATTGCAGATGGGAGGAGGACACAAATAATAAAGTTAATACAAGGTATTTGCACATCGTATCAAACAACCATCATGAATCATCATCAAGGCCAAATGTTTGGTTAATCTTTTTAGTTGGGTTAGTCTTACCCCTGTATATAACCCTGAGTCGCTTTTAGAATTTATCAGCTCCTTAGTCTTATAATAGTTTTTTGTCCTTTATTCTTGAGCTGATACTTCCCTTTATTTTGTTAATGATATTCCACTTATTTCATCAAAAACCAGATACACACGAGTTGATCCCCCAACTTTTTGTTGGGAATAAACCCCCACAGAAATAATATTCACGATAATAAAAGCGAAATAATAATGTAGCACCGAGATACGGTAATTAACAAGAATAAAAGAGTAAAATCGATACCAAGATTTTTACGTGGAAAAACCTTTTTAATAAGGGAAAAAACCACGGCCCCGAGAGGAGCAACTGATATCACTATAGTAAGAAATTTTACACTTTGTAGGTCCGAGTAAAATACTCCAAAGGCCACTACAACACTCAAAAGAAATAACCCTTTTTTGATATTCTCACCTCACTACAATATCACTCACTCTCTATTTTTCTCACAGACTATTTTCTTATACCCTGTCTGTGAAACATCACTCTTTCTTTCTCTCTTTGTTGGTGTATAAAAATGAGAGTCGAAGCTCTCCTTTTATAGGTGGAACCTTACTCTCTCACGCCTACTATTTTTGACATTTTTCTCTTCTGCAGATCTGGTATGCCTACCAATCTTGACTTTTGAAATCTTATAGATTTCACTCAACCAAAATCAGATTTGGTATCATTATTGCTTTCCCTTTTTTTTTATATATATATTATTTAATGGGGATGGACCCCACAATCTCCCCTTCCAGACCCATTCACCTGAAGGAGGTAATACCGGAGGTTCTAGTTTGAGTGTATGCCGACAAGTTCTTTGCATAGCTCAAACTTGTCTCTTGGTACCACTTTGGTCAGCATACTCGAAGGATTCTCACTTGTATGGATCTTCTTTACCTGCATAGACTCATCCTCTATCCTTTCTCGAATCCAATGATATCTCATGTCGATATGCTTCGTCCTTGCATGATGCATGGTGTTTTTGCTCAGGTCTATTGCACTTTGACTGTCACAATAGACGACATACTTCTTCTGGTGCAATCCAAGCTCTTGAAGGAACCGTTTGAGCCATACCATCTCTTTGCCAGCTTCAGTAGTGGCAATATACTCTGCTTCAGTTGTAGAGAGTGCGGCACACTTCTGCAACTTCGACTGCCATGATATAGCTCCCCCTGAAAATGTAAACAAATATCCAGTAGTGGATTTTCTGTTATCAATGTCACCTGCCATATCAGCATCTGTATAGCCCAAGATTGGATCAGATCCTCCAAAGCACAAACAATCTCCTACAGTACCTCTTAGGTACCTGAGTATCCACTTGACTGCTTCCCAATGTTCCTTTCCGGGATTTTCAAGAAACCTGNAGTGACCTGGTTGATCACAGTTGTAGCAATTTCTCGCTCTTGATTTGGATCGGTTCTTTGACTTCCCGCGAGCTCCGGATCTACCATAGTTGCTCGAACTCCTTTGATAACTCCTGCCTCTACCTTCTGTGATGAGAGTCTGCCCTTGATTTTCAGGCTTCTTTTTCATATTCTCATTGAGTAGAAGAGCCGATGTAACATCTTTCAACTCAATAGTAGTCTTACTGTGCAGGATGGTTGTTGCCAAATTATCGTATGAAGATGACAACGAGTTCAATAGCAAGATGGCTTTATCTTCTTCCTCGATTTTCACTCCGAGGTTGGCAAGCTGTGTGATTAGTCCGTTAAACACATTTAAATGTGACAAAAAATTCGTACCTTCACTCATGTGTAGGGCGTATAACTGCTTCTTCAGGTACAATTTATTTGTCAGCGTTTTGGACATGTATAGGCTTTCCAACCTTGTCCAAATTCCACGTGCAGTGTCTTCATCAATGATGTTATTTACCACATCATCTGATAAGTGCAACCTGATTGCACTAGTAGCTCTTTCATCCAAGTCAGTCCAATCCTCAGCTTTCATTGTATCAGGCTTTTTGGCATCAGCATCTAGTACCTTGTGTAATCCTTGTTGGATGAGCAGATCCCTCATCCTTTTTTGTCATATTGAGAAACCGTTATCTCCGTTGAATTTTGCTACTTCGTACTTTACTCCGGACATTTTTATTTTTCACTGAGTATAGTACTACCGACAGTGAATAGTATTTCAGTGAACGAGCAGAACTGTGCTCTGATACCAGTTGTTAGGAATAAACCCCCACAGAAATAATATTTACGGTAATAAAAGCGGAATAATAATGTAGCACCGAGATACGGTAATTAACAAGAATAAAAGAGTAAAATTGATACCAAGATTTTTACGTGGAAAAACCCTTTTAATAAGGGAAAAAACCACGGCCCCGAGAGGAGCAACTGATATCACTATAGTAAGGAATTTTACACTTTGTAGGTCCGAGTATACTCCAAAGACCACTACAACACTCAAAAGAAATAACCCTCTTTTAATATTACCACCTCAGTACAATACTTTTGACTCTTTTCATCTATATAAGCAACTAAATGCCATATGGAGAGATGATAACCCAGATGTTAAGGTGTGTTAACATTAGGTTCTCATTAGAACTGCTCACTCAACCTAACTAAGTTAGTGCTCTCAAATGTATCATACTATTCACAACAAGGATGTCATAAGACCAATAAACTGAGACAAGGCATTCAGCATAACTGCTACCAACAAGGCAAACGATACAAGTATAACCACTGCGCACAGTGCTTTAGCAACAACAGGTAACTTGCTGAATTTTCTTCCTAAGAAAGTAATTAGAACAACTTTTACAAGATTTTTAGGACAAGATACGAACTTCATAAACTACATCAGATTAAGGTTTCTTTGATGAATACTTCATTTATACGCATTCTCCCCATTTATTATCAATCAAATTTATTCACCTATCAAAGTAAAATTATAAACTTGACCTGAGAGTTCAATATAGATTGAATAGCTTGGAAACATCCTCAACAAATAATATAAACTAAACACATATACATATATTTGATCATTAACAAGTACATGCCAATTAACCATATTATGCCAAGCCAGAAAGTTCCTCACAAGAACAGCAGCCAAAATTTGCCAAACAAATATCCACACTCAATATTTTGGCAAAGATATGAAAGGGCAAATATCACTTTTAGCCCGCGGCCAAAACTATTTACATCTGGTAGACGCTATAAAATTTGCATATATGTATATATATACAAAAAATATACATTTTTCAGCTATTATTTTGGGAGCGACTATACAGTGTCATTTTTTCCGATAAGAAAACAGCTTTGTTGACCACCCCAATTTCAGCTCCAAACTTCGAAAACTTTTTCTTAGTCAATATTCTACAAATTACAAAACAAGATCCATTTAAACCAAATGCTTGCATATCTAAAAATAAATTCAACAGCTTACAACACCTTGTCACTTGAAAGGCCCCATGAAACAAAAAATTTGAAATTTCCAAACGAGGATAATAATAAATAATGGATAAAATAGGAAAAGAAATTAAAATGGAATTTAACGAAAAGGGTAGCAAGAAATCACCTGGGCTGGATTAAATTCCGACCATTTTGACGAGGAAGAAGCAAAGGAAACAGAAGAATATGAAGAGGTAAAGATAATCTAAAATCACAAATAATTTGGTGGATCCATGGTTCCTATTTGCCTTCTTCTGTGATGTGTATTCCATTGATTCCAGCTTCGCCATTAATAAGAGGAAAAGCAATCAGAAGAGCAAATCGAAAATATCAAAAGGCAATGTACCAATAGATCTTATTCTGTTGGGAAGATATATGGAGAGAAAATAATGTGTTCTTTTACATAAATTTTACTCCAAGTAAATATGTTAGTTTATGTATTTTTATTATCTCAGCTTACGCTTAATAAATTCACATGATTTATCGCAAGTGGGGATGCCTTTATTTTTATTTTCTTAATATAAAGAAATTACCTTCTCTTATTGTAAAGTTAATTTAGAAAAATAGGAAATGTCCCAGAACAATAGTAACTAAGATAAATTTGTTTCGGAAAAAAATAAAGGATAAATTTCTGACATTAAAGTTTAAAGTGTGATCTCTTGTCACCGCTCTGCGTTACCTGAAATTAATATTTAGAAATAAAGAATTTATTTTAACGCAAACAGGTTAAAAAAGAAATCCGCTTTAACTGAAAATGAAACAATAAAGGGATGTAAAATTAGTCAGAGTAATAACTAATAAGTTTAAGTTTGTCGGGTATTTAATCTTTTTCTTTAAGGTATTTAATCTGAATTCCCAAATTAACAAAACAAAAGTGATAAAGACACAATATATAAATAGAAAGTTATCCTATATTAACTACAACAAAATTGTGTTTCTTTTAAACTTAATTTTAGAATCGTGCACACATTGATTATTTCATCACACACCTGCAACCTTCCACCACTCCAGATATCAATTAACTCCACTCATCAAAGTTTAGACATATGAGAAGCACACAAAATATTCATGTGCATCTTTTTTTGGGGGGTAATAAAGACTTTTTTTCAAATAGAAATACTTTGAGAGTCATTATAATAAGAGATTACCCTAGGTAACATGGTATTTATTCCATCTCTTTCAAAAGCAGAAATAGCAAGGGGGTGGGGGTGGGGGTGGTTAGGTATGGAAGCTTCTAAAAAATGTCCAAGCTACATGCATTCTTTTACTAATTGGTCCATCACTCCATTACCAATAGATATTTTTCCCTTTTTGTATCTTAAAAGTATACATGATGTATATTTTGGTTGAATTACTTTCCAAATTACTTATTCCAACTCATAAAGTTACATAATGTTTCTCTGAATAGGTAGAAAATATGTATATCTATAAATCACCTCCACACTGTAAACTCTTCTATTCTAATTTTTGCATTTTCTCTATCTTCCCAACATTCAACAAGGGGTAGGGGCAAGGAGAGCACGTAATAATAACAAAATATAGAAGAAGAAAATCATTGTTGGCTATACTAGACACTTTTAATTTCCTAAATAGCTTTTATTACAAGCTAATTTTAATTACAACTTGATCAAAGAACTCATAGAATCTCTGACGTTGTTCGCTTGATTAATCCTGCAATGGAAACACAAGAATATGGTTTAGTGCTTTAAAAGTAAGGAAACACAGAGATTGAAGAAGGCAGTTTAGTCTGGACTAGTACCTCGGGCGATTTACTCGATGATGAATCAGATTTAGCTTCCAATGATTCTTCTGATATCCGTGCCTCTGATTTCTCATTTGAATAACTGCAAACGACGAATTGTCAAGTATCAGGAAGATACACTCCTTTTTTAATGATGTTCTAGTGTAAATACATGACATGTAGAGAGACACTTTGCATTGCAAAGTCTCAACAATGGTAGAATTTGAAGGAGTCCATTACTCAAATGGTCACTCAACTAATCGAAATTATAAAGTAAAGTCATGTTTCTTTCGTTTTTAACAGAAAAGTCTATGCCTATAGCATTCAGAAGGTCACTCAACCAAAATCTAAATGTTAGGTGATAGCACAGATAACCTAAATGCAAAGGCATGAAAAAGACTGGTCTCCCGTCAACGACGATTTTTCATATAGGAAATGAGTGACATGGGAAGACTGATACCCCATGCACAATGACAAAGCAAAAGTCAGATACAAAGGAGGAGGAAGAATCGTGAACTTCTCATTTTCAGATTCGTGTTATTTCTCTCATTCTTCCATATCGGGTAGCTCTGTCCATTATGTTGATCTCCTCATGGATGTCCTCACCTCTCTCCGATCCCTTTACTTCTCCGGTTTAAACTCCGTCTTTAGAGCAGAGAAAAAGCTGAGCTCCAACTTGAGTTTCAGCTTTTAACCTATATAAGCCATCCATTTGCAGATTGTGCTACAATGTTCACTACTAATTTCTGCCCACTTTTCTTCGTAAACTCCCTTTCTCTTTCTTTCAATGAAATCACCATTGCCTCAACTTTCCCGCAGTCTCAGGAACAAAATATAAGCATCCACAAATAGCCAGGAGGTGGGTAGGGCAGACAGACAAAGTTATGATACACAATTTTGTTAATACACTATTTTAGAGAGGTTCCGCTACTTCAGAAAGATCCGGTGCAGCACAAGCACCAGCCTCAACATATTTCTCTCTTGATAAGAACCTTAGTAGGGTTGTTTATTCACAAGGCAAGGAAGACACAAAATAACCGTAGTTTAATGAGACGCCTATCTTAATCCGTAGATGACAGTGAAAAAGTTAACAAGTGACATCTATCGCATGACTACAAAATGTCTTTGTTCCTTAAATTTGTTAACAATGAGAATACAAGCAATTTACATGTACTCCTGTTGTCCCTAGCTGTACGAAAGCAATTGTAAAATTAAATCAGAAACTTACGTTGAGAGAATAGTAACCCAAACCAGTTCGATGCAGTCCACCCAAAGGAGTCTTTGCTCAAGAGGAATAACACCATAAGTTATTAGGTGAGCAAACGGCCAAAGCTTCCAACCTGCCTGAAAGAATTAAGAACTGATTTAGTATTTCTCCAAGACATCCAAATGCCAGCTTATTTTTTAGAGTAAAAAAAATATAAATGTCTCTGTATGTTATTTTTTATTTTATGACGGCGGTCTCCAAATCAACTTGTGTGCATAATCTCAGTTTCTTATAATCTATTATCCACACATAAATAAATAAGTCAAACCAAGCAGAGTTCATTAACAAATAAAGAAAGACAGGCATAGACATCTAGATCTAGAAGCATACAGAGCTGCAGCAATGTACAGTTCCTAGGAATATAAGCATATATTTTGTCTAAAATGCCTTGGAGTAAAGGTAAAGTTATCTCTATCTGAAGTATAGGTCACGGGTTCGAGCTGTGAAAGTAGCTACTAATGCTTGATACTAGGGTAGGCTGTCTACATCACAATCCTAGGGGTGCGGCCCTTCCCCTGACCCTATGTGAATGCAGGATGCTTTTTGCACCAGGCTGCCCTTTACTCTGTATAAAATGCAGTAGAACTAGCGGAATGATCTAAGAGAAGAATAATTCACAAAACATTTAGTGATTCAAGCTTAAGATCAGCTTAAATGATACACACATAGCATCATCATAATCTCATTGTTCAGCTGAACAGATACAAATAGCTTCTTCATAATTTCATCCATCCGAAACTTCACATTTACATGACATTCACTAATATATTATTAAGAAAAGACATTAAGCTCTTTATGCAATCATGATTTCAAAATTCTAATGGAAATAGAAGTAGTTAACTTCAACAACCAGAATTAGGCCGCTCAAACATTCAACAGTTAGAATCCTATAAGAGGATGGGCCAAATGTGAAAATTCTACCACTCTGGACGTATTGCTAGCTAACAAGCAGCCGACAGGCCATCTTAGATCTCAAGTAGAACTGACAAGTATCATCATTTTCAAAAGTTCTACTACTGTATGGCAATACTTACTAAGAGGATATATCCATAAAAAGAGGCAAATCAAACAGACAACTTGGACTAAATTCTGCTGAATCATCATAAACAAATTGAAAAATCTTGAGCTAATACGCTGTTGTTCGCATTACAGCTATATTAAATTTCAGGAAATACATAAGGTACTTGGTGTAAGCACTTTAACAGATCATTAGAAGAATTCCTTACCGTTAACATGGGCCAAAACGTGGTTTTGAGCTCGCCAAAAATATTGGCTGCAGATTCAAGACGCAAGAAACCAAGAACCACATAATAGATACTATTCCAAACTGCTGCCCAGATGGTTTGGTCAAATGCAACTTTAGCAGGAACCACCCACCAGTCATTGGTCGGGAAAAGAGCCTGTTACAGTTGAAACTTTTTAGCTTTTAGTAAATATGTCAAAAGTATGCTTGATCAATCAAAATAAAAGCCACAAACATCACCTCACAGAATTGGTAATAATAATGGGAAAGTGATCCATGAAGTGAAAATCCAACAAGACCAGACCTAAACATGCGAGTTCGATCAAATTCAAGAAGAGGTTTCCCCTCATAACACTGTAAATCCATGGAACAACAACAAAAACTTAGATTCAAAAACATCTCACAAAACTGTAAAAACCATATTTGAGAAACGAACAATGCTTACTTGGGCAATCCAATCTCCTAGAGCGTAGACAATACCACTAATTGCCATTTTAGCTAATACAGGATTTGTTTTCAGTGCTTCTTCATATGCAATCCAGTTGTGCTCCGGCGCATATCTTAATATCTCGTAAAAGGTCCATCCCTGAGCACACAATCAAGAAAATTAAAGCCATATAAAGGGTAAAAAAAATTATATAAGCAGGCTGATTAAATGATGCCGAAATATGTGATCATCTCAACGAACAGATTAACTTCTTATAGAGGGTTAACTTGTATTTACTCAATTATATGTTCAATGTGCCCTTCACATGCTGGGCTGTTTCTTTTCCATGGTATAAGTACGTGTAAATTAGTTTTGATAATGAGTGGCAGTAAGACTAGGATCTCGCCATGGCTCTTATACCATGTTGAATTTTGTGATTATCTCATCTAAAAGCTTAAACTGTTAGAAGGGGCATACTTTTATTAATTCAATTATAACTTCAATATAGGACTATCCAACATAGTTCATTCCTTTTGTCATCATTTAGCCCTGTGAAAATCCAATTTATCTAACTGTTTCGTTTATGATCACAAGGGGTAAATGAATAAAAGAACCTTTTTTTCCTTTCCTGATAGGATGTTGTGATATTTCCAAAAAGTGGACAAATGTCCATCCATGTGGCAAGATACATGCAAGCTTTGACAATTATACTTGACAAATGACAAGAAAAGCCTTAAGCTTTTTGCCTATAAAAGGGACTTCCCTTAAGCCAATTTGACATAACAGAAACATCATTTCTTTCATTTCCTTTCACGCCTCTCTTCATCCTTTGTTGTCCAATATTAAATATATTAGTTGTTTCTTTTCTTATTTACTTTTCTTACTAGCTAGTTGGGTTTGTAATTTAATATTTTGTTGATTCCTGTATCCTCCTAATAGAGGTAGGCTTGTTTAATCTTGGAGAGACATTTCACACTGCTGAAATAGTTTCTTAGGACAATGCCTAGCACGACTCAAGTCAATCCGTGTATCCGCTTAAAAATAATATTGAAGCAGTGTTATTATTGAAATTCTTGCTCTCAATTACTATAATCTAAGAAACTATGGCAAACACCACTGATGCTGAAAATACTATTGATACTACCAATACTAGCGCTACCTCCATTGCCCCAGTTCCAGTTGTACTATCATATGCCAGGCCATTTCCAGATGTGTCGAATATCGAAATTTTCGCCAATGAAAATTTCAAGCGTTGGCAAGAACATATTTTCTCATTGCTTGATGTCTATGGTGTTGCACATGCACTGTTGTATCCACAACCTAGTCCAGACACTGATAATAAAATAGTAGAATCATGGCAACATGCCAACAAGGTATGTCGTCATACTATATTGCAAACTATTTTTAATGAATTGTTTGACGTGTATTGCAGCTATAAAGAAGCAAAAGCTATCTGGGAAGCCTTAATTAAAAAATTCACTGCTGAAGATGCTACAAAACAAGAAATTTGTAGCAGGAAAATTTTATCAGTGGTAGATGAGAGATGATAAAGAGATGAACGTACAAATCAACGAATTTCAAAAATTGTTAGAAGACTTGAAGGCCGAGGGGATGTCTTTACCAGAAAAGTTTGCTGCTGGAGTGCTAATTGAGAAGTTGCCTGACTCATGGAGTGACTACAAAAATAACTTAAAGCACAAACAGAAAAATTTCACTATTGAGGAAATTGTGACCCACATCCTAGTTGAAGATTCCAACAAAAAGAATCTGCCAAAGCTTGGATGGCAGCTCTTAAAGCAAACTTAGTGCAAAGCAACAACAACAACAACCGCAAAAGGCATGAGAATAAGTCCCAAGGTTGCAAGCCTAAAAATCCTAACCTTAAAAGAAAAAAGGGCTCTTGTTTTGTTTGTGGAAAACCAGGCCATCACGCCACACAGTGCAAGTACAGAGCAGAAAATGACAAAGAAAAAACTAATATCCCTAAAGCTAACTTAACTGAAGGAGGTGATATTATTGCAGCTGTCATTTCTCAAGTAAACATTGTAGCACATACAAAAGAATGGGCGGTAGATTCTAGGGCTACTCGGCATATTTGTGCAAATCGAGAAGCATTTTCCTCTTATACTCCTGTAAAGGATGATAGAGAAGAGGTCTACCTTGGAGACTCAAGTACTACAAAAGTCTTGGGTAAGGGTAAAGTTCTCGTGAAACTCACTTCGGGAAAAACTTTAGCCCTTGTTGATGTATTGCATGTTCCTACTATGAGGGCAAACCTGATCTCTGTATCCTTGTTGGGAAGAGCCAGAGTGAAAGTGTCATTTGAATCTTATAAGATCATAATGACCAAAAATAATGTGTTTGTGGGAAAAGGCTATTGTAACCAAGGACTCTTTGTGCTTAATGTTTCTAATATTATCAATGGAAATGTATCTGCTTGTGCTTTTATGGCTGAGTCTATCTCTTTATGGCATGCTAGATTAGGACACATTAATATTGCATATATAAAAAAATGCAGTCACTCGGATTAATATCTAGTTTAGACTCAAATAATATTGAAAAGTGAAATATATGCTGAAGCTAAAAGTACTAGAAAAACCTGTTTTCCATAAATAGAGAAACTGAATTGTTATCTTTAATTCAGACTGATTTAGGCGACTTGAAGCAGACTATGACTAGAGGTAGTAAAAGATATTATGTGACTTTTATTGATGATTTTTCTAGATATACTAAGTTGTATTTGCTTAGAAATAAAGATGATGCCTTTAATGCTTTTATTTCTTATAAAACTGAGGTTGAAAATCAACTTAGTAGAAGAATCAAGAGAATTAGATCAGATAGAGGTAGAGAATATTTATCTTTAAATATTTTTTGTGAAAAAGAAAGAACAATTCATGAAGTAACTCCGCCTTATTCACCCAAGTCAAATAAGGTAGCTGAAAGAAAAAATAGAACATTGAAAGAGATGATGAACTCTATGCCTAGCTCTAATGCACCTGATAATTTGTGGGGTGAAGCTATATTATCTGCATGTCAATTATAAAATAGAATACCACATAGAAGAACTGGCAAAACTCCGTATGAATTGTGAAGAGGTTATAAACCTAATTTGAAATATTTAAAAGTGTGGGGGTGCCTTGCTAAAGTTCTATTGCCTGAATCTAAAAGGAGAAAAATAGGTTCTAAAACTGTTGATTGTATGCTTATTGGATATGCTGAACATAGTGTTACATATAGATTTCTTGTTTTAAAAAGTGATGTGCTTGATTGTAATACTATAATTGAGACAAAAAATGCTGAGTTCTTTGAATATATTTATCCATTGTCTGAAAAAATTTCTCATACACCTATTGAAACAAATAATAAAATTACCTTTGATGAGGAACTGAGAAGGAGCAAAAAGCCTAGGAAAGAATATTTTTCATATGGAAATGATTTTCAAACTTTTTTTGTCGATAATGAACCATCAAATTATTTTGAAGCTATATTTTCTTCAGATGCTAAATATTGGAAAGAGGCAATAAAAGTTGAAATTGATTCTATTAAGAAAAATAATACATGACTTTTAACTGATTTACCTCTTGGTGCAAAGCTTATTGGTTGTAAATGAATCTTCAAAAAGAAATTTAATCCAGATGGATCTTTAGATAAATATAAAGCTCGGTTAGTAGCAAAAGGATTTTCTCAAAAATAAAATATAGATTTTCTTGATACATTTGCATCGGTGACTAGAATTTCTTCTATTCGAGTTTTAATTGCCTTAGCTTCTATCCATAAGCTTTTTATCCATCAAATGGATGTCAAAACAACTTTTTTAAATGGTGATTTAGAAGAAGAAATTTATATGGTTCAACCTGAAGGCTGTGTCATTCCTGCACAAGAAAATAAAGTTTGTAAATTAATTAAATATCTTTATGGCCTTAAACAAACTCCTAAGCAGTGGTATGAGAAATTTGAACAAGTCTTACTGAGAGACGGTTTTTCTTCGGTGGAGGTGGATAAATGTGTTTATACTAAAATGGTAGACAATGATTATGTGATAATATGTCTATATGTTGATGACATGCTTATATTTGGTACAAATTTAAATATTGTGCAAAGTACAAAATTATTTATGTCTACTAATTTTGATATGAAAGATTTGGGAGAAGTAAATACAATATTGGGAGTTAAAGTTATAAGGAGCGAAGATGGAATAATATTGTCACAAGAACATTATGTTGAGAGACTTCTTAAGAAGTTTGAATATTTTAATGTCACATCTGTGAGCACTCTTTTTGATGCTAACTCTCAGTTGAAAAACAATAATGGTGACCCAGTTGCTCAGTTTAAGTATGCGCAGATTATTGGGGGTCTGATGCATTTAATGAATTTTACAAGGCCTGATATAGCTATGCAGTATGTAGACTGAGTAGATATACTCATAATCCCAACAGAGAACATTGGTCTGCATTAGCTAGACTAATGAAATATTTGAGAGGAACCATGAATTATGGTATCCTATATAGTGGATTTCCTTCTACTTTAGAAGGGTACAGTGATGCAAACTGGATCTTTGATTCAGATAAGACAAAATCCACTAGTAGTTATATATTCACCCTTGGTGGTAGTGCAATATCGTGGAAATCGGCTAAACAGACGATCATTGCTAGATTGACTATGGAATCAGAGTTTGTAGCTCTGGAGTTAGCTGGTTCTGAGGCTGAGTAACTAAGAAATTTCTTAGCTAATATCCTTTAATAAAGGACGTATTGCCTCCTGTGTCTATGCATTGTGATTGTCAAGCGGCAATAGCTATTGCAAAGAATAAATCTTATAATTATAAAAGTAGATACATGAAATTGAGACATGATGTTATAAAACAGTTGTTGAGAGATGGAATAATTTCCATTGATTATGGGAAGTCGGAGATAAATTTGGCCGATCCTCTGACTAAACATGTGGGAAGAAAATTAATTCTTCAAACCTCAAAAGAGATGGGGTTAAGGCCGACATGTTGTCAATAGAGATGGTAACCCAACCTATGTGATTGGAGATCCCATGAAGTAGGTTCATATAGGTAATAACAAGTTGATATTGACACTAAAACACTAAAAAATAGTGCTTGACTGCTACTAGTTGAGAGGTTAAGTTATAACTCTTAATGAAATTCATATTCCTTATGGATTGTGTATTTAAAAGCAGTATACACTTGATGAATTCACATATATGAGAGTGGAGTGAGGCCGTTCCTATGAGATTTTGGCCTAGTCTCTAGAGCTCTCATGAATAACCAGGCACGCACATGGCCTATTGGGCGCAAAACCGCGTTGAACAGCAAAATTACCGGGGGTCGAAATGTGATTGATAAAATCTCTGACTTACAGTAAGAGTTATTAGTTCATAGAAATATTATATTTCACCAGTAATTCTGTGGGTTAAACTTTATTGATCTAAGTTTGGTTCATAGTCCAAAAGACACCAAACACATTGCATTTGGACCATACAAATCCAGCAAATCTTACTCCTCTTTATATGAATTTTTTGAAAATATATGGGGGAACTGTTGTGATATTTCCAAAAAATGGACAAATGTCCATTCATGTGGCAAGATGCATGCAAGTTTTGACAATTATACTTGACAAATGGCAAGAAAAGCCTTAAGTTTTTTGCCTATAAAAGGGACTTCCCTTCAGCCAATTTGACATAACAGAAACATCATTTCTTTTATTTCCTTTCACGCCTCTCTTCTTCCTTTGTTGACCAATATTAAATATTAGTTGTTTCTTTTCTTATTTACTTTTCCTACTAGCTAGTTGAGTTTGTAATTTAATATTATGCTGATTCATGTATCCTCCCTAATAAAAGTAGGCTTGTTTAATCCTGGAGATACATCTCACACTGCTGAAATAGTTTTTTAGGACAGTGCCTAGCACGACTCAAGTCAATCCGTGTATCCGCTTACAAATAATATTGAAGCAGTGTTATTATTGAAATTCTTGCTCACAATTACTAGATAGGAAACATAGCAGAAAATAGAATCAAAGAAAATAATAAAAAGACTTACATGCCAATAATCATGATCTATAGTGAGTAGCTTTGTGATGGCAAATGTACCAGCACCAAGTACAATTGCAGCATTAAGAAACCTATCTTTGTCCAACAAAATGGACAAACTATTCTTGGTTTCCTCAAATTCACTGCCATTTGAATCTTTCTTTTCATTTTCTTCGCTGATCTCTTCTGTACTGTCTACTTCCCTATCTTCTGTGACAGCATTTATTGGACGAACAAGACTAGTTTTTGCAGAAAGAGTTGGGATTTGTAGTGAATTTTGTCGGGTGATGTGCGGAGAAAAGTTGATGGAGAAGAATTGAGTATTTCTGGATTTTGAGGGAGAAGAGAGGGTGTGGGTAGCAAAATTTTTGAGAGCTGACATGATTGGTAGGTTGTTCCGAAAGAGAAGGAAGTTCCAAAGGGAAAAGGAAATAGTTTTATTCTTTCATTTAAAAAAGAGAAATGCATAAACTATATTTTTATATATATTTTTTAATTAGCGAATGTAATAAGTTTGGGCTGATGGTCAATTTAGTATTTTGCCAAAAACAATTATGAATTCGCTATAAAATAACAAGTGGGGTTTCAAAAAAGTAACGTGTAGGCAAACGTTGTCCTTATCTTGTAAAGATAGAGACGTCTTTTTTTCGATAGTCCATAGACCCTAGCAAAAAACAGAAAAAAGAAAATGAAATGCTAGCTAAAAGAGTTGGTCGGTGGGGGTTTACTCCTCATAGAAAAAAGAAAGTGTCAAACATTTTGGTAAAGAAACATTTTCTTATAGGGATATTTTATTTTTGTCGAAAAAATGATATGGAAGGGAATTTCCGCCATTAAGGATATGTCTACATGATGAGATGATTGAGATTCTTTTTTTTTTTAATTAAATATGTTGATTTTGAAGAATATGTAATTTTTTTTGGTAAAGAGTATTTTTATCCCATATTAAGCCTACGAATGTAAATTCTAACTAACCGAACCAGCTGCTTATGAACAAAAAAAATGGCAATAAAATGACAAACTTATCATTAAATAAATTAGAAAAACAAAAGAACCCAAAAAATACAACTCAAATGCAATTGGCAAATTTTTTGGAAATGTTTAAAAATGTTAGTGCTAATTAAAAATTAAAATGGCCAGCTAGATTATTCTATAACCTTCTCAAAAGAAAAAGAAAAATGGGGGGG